GGGGTTGGAACTCAATATCCCTAACCCTAACCCTTAAGGTCCTTTCCAACCCTAACTATTCTATGATTGGTAAAGGCTGGTATATTTGTCTATAGCACACATGGACATATTTCTAGCGTGCAGTGCTCTCTTTAGATATTACCCAGTTATGTCTAAGGTTATTAGGCATAAATAAAGAAAGTATTACATTACTTAAGATGAATATAGTTTCAGAGAGCTTTCTTTTCACATCAACTTAAATCTGTGCTGCTTTCAAATCAAATTATGGGGGAAATGCAGGGGAAATGGCTTACCTGTCGCTAGCTCTGTTACAAAATGAGTCAGGTATGTGGTGGTGGAGATAAATGCCTAAATGGAGGCGTAAGGCAGACAATATTTTTCACTGATAGCTGAGCAGTTAATGACTATAATGAGTTCTTTTTCTGAAGCACCCAATAGAAGCAGTGCTAGCAGTAAAAGAAGATTTCTTGATCTTTAGGGATCCACCTAGAAATAGGCACAAAGCTTGTAGGTTTTAGGGTGGGTTTTTTTTTTTTTTTGTAGCTGCTTTGCCTTTTTCCTAAGGCCATTTCTGGGTGTGATTACCATTGTACAAATCAGTTTCCTCTAGTATCTTATCTGCTTTGTTTTTGTTTAATTGGAAGATAAGAATTTCTTCTACAAGCATGTCTAGATTGTATTTTAATGGAGCAACTCACCCATGCAGCTATATATAAGATAGGTTTAAACTACATAATTCAGACAGTAACGATAATACAGTCACAAAGTCATGGAGACATTTGGCCTAGATGCATTTATTCACCTGAGCTCCTGGATGCATTTTTACAGCCTGCACTGAAAACTTGGTTCCTAGAGATTATTTTTTCAAAGTTATTAATTGAGAGGTACTCTGGCTATGTCTATGCAATCTTCCACTGCAACTTAGCTGGGCTGTTGTTGAAGATGAGTGTTTTCAGTGCACTGGATTTGCCTTCTGTTTATTTGCAAGAAACCTTTATTCTCACAGGTGAGCGGAATAAAGAAGAAATACCACACTATGAAAGAGAAAAAAACATTAATCACCATTTAGTGATAGTACCAAGAAGAAAATTCACCTAAAGCTGTGTGTTTTGGAAAGGAAGAATAAGAACAAGAGAGACTAAGAGAGGAATAGAACAACTTAGAGTGTTAAGAAAAAAAGACACAAGCAACTTTTAAAATACTACTGGAGAAACACTACTTTAAAAGTCTAAAATATTAAAATTGATTGAGGTTGTGAAATAAGTGTATTATTTAGTCCTTTGTGCATTAAAATTAATTTTTCATCTTCTTATCTAAGCAGCATCCCTATTGGCTTTTGCTGAGCATTCTTAATATTTTATGTGCTTAAGGGAAAAAAGCTGAACTTTGACATTCCTGAGAATGTTTAACTTTATTTATTCTCATTTCCCATGCAAAGAAATTTCAAATCATGCAAGAAAAAAAGGAAAGAGAAAAAAATAGGCATAGTTTTGCTGCACCATTCTGGCTTTATTTCCCATATGGTTGTGCATGCAGGTGCTAAGAGCTCTATTCTTCTCTACATTATTATTTTTCCCTTGTTTCCTGCTATCTCACTTGTGTGGCTTGTATCATGCAGTAGCCCCAGAAATGCTGAGAACATCAATAATTTGATTGTAACTGAGCAATAATAAACGATGAAGCAACTTCATCTGAGCTGGAAGATCTGGCCTTAACCTTTCTCTATTTACAGCTCTGGAAGCCTTGCATTCAGGAGAATTTTAATCAGCAGAGACATGACAGTCCTCATGTACCAAAGCACGACATAAACATAGCAAAACTGCTGCTATTAGGAGATAAGTTCTTATGTGGTACCCCCACAAACAAAAGGTTTTAGTAGATCATCATTGGTGCTAAAAGCAGCATAAGCAAATAGACCTGTATAAGCCAAACAACTGCTTAAATCACCACAGCTTGGTCGCTGACAGAAAATTAAATATGTTAAACCTTCAATATCATGGTCCTTATACTCACATGCTGAGGCTGTACCATTTGATACAGCAAGGTTTTATACCCTACCGGCCACTCTAGGCATTGCAGTTCTTCCAATGAAGCAACAATTTTGTACCTTTCAATGTAAAGTTATACACAGATCTGTGTATTGTCCCACAATTGTACCAATTCCCTGTGCCTTCATCCTTAGCTTTGGACTGACATGGGTGAATCCTCACACTGATACAGATAACCAACCTGAACTCAGAGGCATATGTGCATAGTCCTTGAAAGTGTTAGAAGCCTTGACTTGGCTGTTACACCGTTGCTGAAGAAAACTTTTCAAATAATACTTCCTGTTCCATTCCCAGGGAAAACAAAACCAAAACCAATTAAAAAACCAAACAAAAAAACCCTTTGAATTTTGTCCATTGGATCTTTCAGTGGCAGTAGTTCTCCTTTATAAACACTTAATACTCAAAAACTAGAATGGCTGGGACATGTGACAGGGTGAACTGAGCTTAGGACAGTTAATTTTAATAAACCAATGTTTATATGAATAAAGGTTTATATGAATAAAAGTTTGTATTCTTCTCAGTTAATTTTAAGTGTGTAACTGGGTCTTTAAGGTGAGAAAATGGTTATCTCTTTGTGACTAATGGAGAGAGATGGTTGTACAGAGAAGAATGGTTTCATTCTGCTCCTAAAATGTGTCTCTGAGACCGTGGTTCAAGTGCAGTACCTCTATATAGCTAGGATCTCTTTATTGTTCAGCCAAATTTAATTCCTTGATACTTAAAATAATGCTGGATGCCCAGAACTGAAAGGGACTGTAAAATTGTGTAAGTTATTAAGGTGGTGTCCCTTCGACCCCAAAGTAATCCTGAAATTACAGCATGAAATGTAGAAAGGATAGAAGCTTCAGTTAGCACATCATCCAAAACAAACTGATACCAGCCACGTGCCTCTGACTACGGTTACTTGATGAGTAAAGTCATTTTTCCCCAGAGTCTTCCTGTGCTACATTGATTGTATCACTTTCAATATCTCTTCCTTGACTACAGACAGCTCCAGAGATTTCTCTTTCTAGGTTGCTTAGCTTTGTCAATTCCAATTTATCTAGTTATTTCTTTACCTTTTTCCTCAACAGCAAAGATTTGTGATCAATAGTGAGCCTCATAAAAGCCCTAGAAGGTATTGCTAACCCCTTTTTCTTGAGTTACCAACTCCCCCATTGAGTCTACAGAGAAGTAGTCTCAAACAGCTTGACTGGTTAACAGGTACCATCTGTACCCACCATTTACCTGGCATTCTCATTTTCCTCCTAGAAGTGGTTTTGTTTAAAGCAGGTTTCCCTTTTTGTTTCTTTCCCCCACTTCATCCTCTGCATGCATTTTGGAAAATTTTTAATTTTTGATGTTTGTGGAACAAGCCAGTGGCATTTTAACGTTTTTATTTTAATTCCCACAAAAATTCATATGTGAACCCTGCTAGTTGCACCCATTTCGTTTTAAAAAGAGCTTTCTTTTTTGTTCATTTTACACTGAAATACTCAAAAGCTCAATGGAGAATAAACAGATAAATTATTCCCTTGAATTCAGTCTGAGTTTGGAATTGCTATGGCTAGGAGATGTTTTCATTGGCTACATTTATGTTCAATGCTCCCCAAAGCAATCACTCATTCAAAAAGTTCCAATTCTGGATCAGCTGTGATAAGAATAAGCCAGAAAAATCCAAAAGATGAACTCCCTGTGGTGTACACTACCTTTCACGTACACAAATTCAACTGAGCACTCAAACAGTGTGCTGCAAAATTTGGTGCTCCAGAAGTTATATGCAAGTTAAGTGAAGTTTGTATTTCTTAAACATATGATCTTCAGTTGTTATTTTAGCATTAGTAAATAGTTTACTTTAGATAAGAATTCCAACATGTCAGAAAATCTCCTTTCTATATTATGGCCTGAGACAGAGATAAAAAACTGTTTGGAGGAGAGACCAAAATACCCCACTACTTTGGAATGCTTTTCCCCCTGGCAGAAAAAAAATGAATTAAATAAATATTTCAGATCAAGGTGTCATAAAACTATTTATATTTGACCAAAATATTGTTCATTTATCTTCTCCAAAGTGAATTAAATAAAAACAGAATAAGAAGTTGGTTTTGAAATAAAGGGAAATGAAACAAATATTTCTCCTTTTGTCTTCAGCCAGGAAAAAAAAAAAAAGGAAACCAAACCAAACAAAAAAAAATGTAATTTCTACTTCATACTAAAGTTCTATTAACATGGACATTATGCTCCCGCTGTTGTCCTCATTTCATATAAGACAAACATTTAAGACAAAAATTATTTGTGTTTTATTATTATTACTACTGAAGAGGTATAATTGTGAGTCTAGGGGAGCAGTGGAAAATAGGGCCACTACTCACCGTCATTTGGAGATCCAGTTGCTGAATTTCCTTTTGGACATGTATGGTGCTCAGCCACATATGAATAATAGAATCATAGAATCATCTATGTTGAAAAATACCCTAAAGATCAAGTTCCACCATTACCCCAGGACTGCCAAGTCCACCACTAAACTAATGGCCTCATCTACATGGTTTTTGAACAATTCCAGGGCCAGGATGCTGGCCTTCCTTGCTACCCTGGTACACTGGCTCATGTTGAGCTCATCTTGATGGTATCCTTGACCTTCCTGGCTACCCTGGTACACTGGCTCATGTTGAGCTCATCTTGATGGCTCATGTTCAGCAGCCATCAATCAACATCCTCAGGTTCTTTTCTGACAAGCATCTTTCCAGCCATCCTTCCCCAGGCCTGGAGCGTTTTTTGAGTTTATTGTGGTCCAACTACAGGACCCATCAATTTTACTTGTTGAACATCATGCCATTGAACACATTCCATGGATCCAACCTGTCTTGCAGAGCCTCCTGCCCTCTACCAGATCAACACTCCCACCCAGTTTAGTGTCATCTGCAAATCTACTGAAGGTACACTCAATCCCCAGGAAACAAAGGAAATGAGAGGGAGCTGTTACCCAGAACTGGTTATTACATTACTTAGTCTTCACACATTTAAAGTGGGAAGTGTAAAGTGTTTTCTTGCAGCTGGTCTTAGCCGCTGATCAATACTGACAGCTTCTTCTAAACAATGCAGTCATTGAAGAAATGCAATCTTCCTTCTCCCAAAGCAGTTATATCTTTGGAAGGAAAAAGAAAAAAAAAAAAAGAAGGGGTGTATATGTGCATGAGTGTGTGCAAGACAGAGAGAGAGACATTCAGTGTTCCATTCATCCAAGGATTCATGTTATAATTATTTTTACCATAAAATGGGGGTTAATCCGCCTGTTTGTTCTTTCTCCAGTCATTGGCAATCAATGCAGTAAGTTGAGGTCTTCACTCACCTCTCTTCCTGTGACTGATGGGTCTGATCCTGCAGGATTCTGGCTCCTCTCCATTTAGAAATGGCAGTGTTCTCAATCTCCAGTGAAGTTCTTGGTGTTTGGTGTGCTTCACTTTTTTTTTTTTTTACCAGCTTCTGCTTTGTTACAGTCTCTCAGAATGGAATCTGAGAAGTTGCAAGTGCTGACAAGTTCATTAGCAAGACATCGTCTAAAAGCCATCAGTGACAACACATATGTAATCTGATGTACATACATTTGTCCCAATTTTCAAATATGTTTTCCACTCCATGCAAACTAAGACCTTTTGAATTTGTCCTTCAGTGAAAAATCTTTGGGAAAGGAGATAGACAAGGTTTTCTGCCCAGCAAGTTCAGCCTCTGAGCTACTTAGACTAGCTCTATACTAATAAATCCCACTACATGTGAGTACTCCCTCATGACTGGCCTTTTAGCTCAGCTCTCAATATGCTCCCTGGTACTTGGCCCATGAGACCTAGCATTCTTCCAGACAGCTCAGGAGTGTATCAGGGAGATTATGACAGCAAGCAATACTAATTGCATAGATAAAACTTAGAACCTCTGTTTATTCTAGGCAGCTCTTCATCATGTGGGTGTCTTAGAACTGCATTTTTCTCCACTTTTTTCCTGACTTTAGATCTGACAAACTGTTTCAGACAAAGTTCCGAAATGACTGCAGTGAGTATTCCCAGCACTCTCCAGCTAAAGCTACCAATTCCAGCCTGTAGTTATAAAAAAAAAAAAATATAACAAATGAAATGCTCTCAGGAGGTCTGTAGCCATTTCAAGCATTTCTACATGTTTGGTAATCTTGGACAAAAAGGTGAAAACTTTTGGATATTACAGGGCAAATGTTCTGGAACAGAAGGACAGATAAAAAACACACATCAGTATCTGGGACAGCTGAGAATAAACCAACTGATGTATGTCTTGAAGCTTTTGTAGCTTTCAGAAAAGCATGTGCTGTGACAAAGTTCATTGTTTAAGAAGACTTTCACGGAGTTCACAAAGTATGCTAGTATCCGTGCCACTTTACTGCTATTGTTTCAACCAGGATGACCCATTGGTCATTTCACACAAATGTAATTACACACCTTATAGAAAAGTTAAGAATTAGGAATTCATTTTCAAATTCTATATTGATTATCATTATGCTAATTATACCATCAACTAAGTTAAAATTATAAAACAAATATAATTTTTTGCTTTAGGACTTAAAAGTGGGGCACGAGTATCTAATATCTAGAGATTATTATTTCTTTTCACCAACTATAGTAAAAGCCAGAGGGCAAGCATATTGACAATTTACGTAGCTCAGCTGCCAAAAGTCAGATGGAAAGAATTGTTATTCAGCTGTGACCGAAGTCTGCTGGGAAAAGAGCATCTAATACCTTGCAGGGTCACCCTCATGAGTCCTGAGAAGGGAGATGAAGTCAAGGAAGTTGGGTTTCTTCACTCCAAGGCACTTTTGCTGCTCCCCAGTGGGAAAAGAAATAGCCTTTGTATGCCACTGAGGAGCTAGAGGATAATTTTTTTCTGTTTGTTAGTTTGTTTGTTTGTTTCAGCCTCCAGTTAAGGCGCAAATAAAATATCCAGGACGACTGTTTGGGTTCTGTTCTCATGGAAAATTTCAATAACTGGTAAGATCTCCAGTGAAACATGAATTTGCCACAGGGAAGAACTGCCAATCAGTAACCAGCTAAAGCCATCACTCAACAAAAAATATACTAGAAGGATCCCAGTGAACTCTGAGCATGGTATAATCTTATAGTTTTGATTTTGTTAATATATTTCCCCCCCTCAGATTTTATTTAAGACTGAATCTGAAATATTTTTAAACAAAAGTTAACCAGAACAGGTGCATTAAGATCAAGAGGGATGGTATACTGAAAAGCCAACAGTACATCTTCACTAACTGAACTGTGCTTATACATGTATACATCTGATAGTCTTAACACTTCTGATGTTATATAGGTCCTGGTGTTGGATATGTCACAGAAAATGCAGTTCCAAACTGGGGGTTCCTGCTGCTCTCCAAATAAAATAACTTTCTTTCTGATCTTCCTCATTGTCCTTTGAATGAAGGCTGTTTAACTTCCTTGGTTTGGCAGCCATGTTTAGAGAAACAGTTCTGGATTCAGATTCAGAGATAGAAGCAACAAGAAAAAAATCCACCTTGAAGTTATTTTCAGGTCTAAGGCAAGGCCTTAACATCACAAAGCATCATGAAATAGATGTCTTGAGCTAGGTGTGGCTAAGCATCTAAAGCCGTGAGACTTAAACCAGAAAAGACAGCTAGTGGTCTTTCAGGATCCCAGCAAAAGATGAAGACACCTTGAGATAGCTCTTGGTCTTAGTATGTTTTAGAAATGCAAGTGCATGAAAAACCCTGAGTAGCAAGGAGTTTGGAGCAGGGAGTGATAATGCAACATGTGGTTGTGATTTACACGAAACAAATTATTTTTTTTACCTGACTGGAGGATGTCTATTTATCATTGGTGATTTTATCTTAATTTAATGTGATAGCTAGAAGTGGAGATAACAGAAAAACATTTTGACTTGTTTGCTAACTAATGAAAAGTAAAATTCAGTGTAACACTGGTTCATTGTACTTTTAGATAAACGAGGATTTTCTCTCACCCCACTTTTTCCTTCTTTTTCTTCTTTCTTCCTTCCTTCCTTCCTAGCAATAAAATGGTTAGCACAAGTGCTCTTTTATCAATGGTGATGTAAAAAAAAAGTGTGAACCAGGGGAATCTTTACTGTCAGGTTCCCTGGAAAATGGGAGTTCTTTGATTTAAAAGTGGATTTATTTATCGAATAAGACCATCAGCGGTTTTTTCTGCTGGGAGTTTTAATATACCCTCAGTGGACCCCACCATCTAGGTTCTTATTAGTGTTAATAACAATGAAAGAAAGCTTTAGATTCCTTCAGATTTTTGTAAGTGAAATACAATCCATATATTTTATCCTTCTGGTATATTGTCACTGGACAAAAGTCACTGACAACAGGAGTATTTGGTACTATGGCTGTCCTCCAAAGAGACATTGGTTTGAGCCAATCAAAAGCTACCCAAGTAGCTAAGGAACAGGAGGAACAGAATGGAAGAGGGTTTGCACAATGATCTTTTAAAGCTAGATGGCTTGCATATTGCTCTGTTGTAACCAGCTGTCTAACATGATGTAGGGTCCCAAGCGCTTTTATGAGTCAAGGTAATGACACAATGAGTACTGAGTAATTTAGAACTTGTTCTACAAAGCAAAGAGTACTGGGTTCTGCTGTAGCTGTTTGCATGGATTTCTATGGAAATCCCAAATTTGTTACACCATTTCTAAAATTTAAGGATTGCATCTGGAAAAACATGCTCAAGGAACTTATCTAGGGCATCATCCTCTTAAAAGTTAACTTTACTGTGTCCTATGAATGAAATACTGAACAGCATGTATATTATTTTTAAAAGGGATATAAAACAATAGGGAAGCACTGCCTGGTTATATTACAGGATCTATCTTCTCATGTATCAGCAAAAAACTATCACTGAAGTATACCTAATTATCATATTTACAGTGGCACAGGTAGTAAAACAGTTATGTTTTGCATTGCTCAGGATGTTCAGGACTGAAATAGATAAACTATGTGGGAGATTAGTAATAAGTAATTATTCTCTACTTACATATTCAGCTTCATATTTCTAAATTAAGGTAAGTGGAAAAAGCTTATAAAAAATTCAGGGCTCTTTTATCTTTCCTCCTCCCTCTTATTAGAAACTGTGCATGAATTTGCATAGAATAAACTGAGCCCATAAATCATGGCAGAAACTGCAAGAACGCTCTTTGTAAGTTATAATTTAAGGTTAACTGTAGCACATTTTGCTTACTGTATTATTAATGACTTCAGTTCACTCATGACAAGATTACATATTAAAAATTGTTGGTAGACAAAACTCCAGTTCATAATCAATTTGCTTCCTAACCTTAGAAAGCCACTTACCGTGTTTTCATACTTCTAATGAAGAGACCATCAGGCAATACGCTACACTGGCTCTGATCTTCAGTAGCTCTACTGCATCTGGCCAAGAGGTTTAGGTGCAAGGCCTTACATGGAGCTTGAACTGTGCCCACATGCCACATGGCAGGCTTGGAAAAGCCACATAATCTTCTGGAATTTATGTCTATGTCCACAAGGAAAAATGCCAGCAGAAACACCTGGATAACTTCCGAACAGAAACTGTGATACCTGCAGAATACCTGCAGGATTCTCTTCCTTCTCTAACGTGAAGCACAAAATGGTAACATGGCTATTGTGAATTAATAACCTTGCAGGATGCTTTGTTATGCATTTGCAGTCAGTGTAAAAGGGAATCCAAATTTGCTGGTAACCAATACTCCCATAGAAGGACTCCCTTCTAGGCTGCTACAGGTTGCTTCCGTATTTCAGGAGCAAGGTTGAGTGTTCATGTGATAAAACATGAGCTAATCAACACAAACAAAAGGACAGCATACTTACAAGCGCTATATATACATAAAGAGCACTCACTCAAACATGAATAACACAAATGGCTTAATTCTGCTTGTGCCTGCTGGCTAATCAGGCTCAATGTTTCTATCAGATTTTGTACCCATGACAACACAAACACAAAGAGATCTCTGCCATTGCTGTGGGAGAGACTGCTAACATATTCCTAGTCTCTGTAGTAGCTGGCTCCCAGAACTCTAATTATTCTAGCTACTCCACTATGTCATTCACTATCCTCACACACAAAACAGCAAGCACTCAAGCAAGCAAGCAACCTAGAGAAAACAGGTAGGAGTTGGATAAGAAGATACAAAGAAGAAGACCAGACTGTTTACCAGGCAGAGGGATTGGGCAAGCAAGAGCACACTGATCTGTACCTTCTTTAGATTGCATCTTTTATCTCCCATATTGTCCATTTCCCATGTTTTCTCTCTGATCCAGCACGCTCATTGCCTTTGCCTACCTTATATCTGTTCTCTAAACATCCCACAGTAAGTTTTGTGCAACACCCCAAGCCTTTTCAAACATCCTACTGTAAATTTGCTCCCTCCCCTGAAACTATAATAATCTCATTTTTCTTCTTATCAGTTGCTTGATGGTTCTGACTGAACTTCCCCAGGGCTTCGAGCAGTCCAACCGTCCATCAATAAATCTGTGACCTGAGAGCTGTGGTTGTTGATAATGCCTCCTTTACTTCTGTTTGTTAGGATTTGCGTATCTGAGTGTTTAATGTGTTCTTCTGTTTCTCATTCTAATCTTCCATGCAGAGCAGGCACCAACCAGATAGTCTCAGAAGCCACACATATTTACATTCCATATATCCTAACCATATGTCCCATTCTATCTGATGGGGGAAAACGCTGGCACATAGGCATTAATTAGTTCACTCCTGTATTCACTACTATCCTACCATTGTCCTGCTGAAATCCAGGAGCTGTTGGCTTCAATAGCTCTTAAGTTTGAATATTATAAGTAACTGTTAGACATTCTCAAGACTTGGTCCAGCAGTGGCACTTATATCTAAGTTTAAAGCCTACATGATAACAAGATTTTCTTTTCTGCATATCATAAGAAAGGAATTCTGTAACATCACTTCAATTTGGCAGTTTAGTGCATCATCATAGGTTCTTCTTGGCTTTCATTAGCTTGTCACTTTGCTTACATGATGCTAAAGATTTCGAATTTGACTTTCAGGGGGTCAAAGGGGTACTTTTTAATGACTAAACCCAAGTCCTAGCACACGGTCTTCCAAGTTCCACAATGAAATAGCAGACTACCAAGTAAAATAAAAAATGAAATTAAAGTGACAAAACATTTACTGAATGTAATCCTGTCTTATTTAGCACTAACCTTCAGACAACCTTCAGACTTCCTAAGCAAAATATTTATAGTGACTTAATACTTCAGTCATGAGAATAGTCTAACCAGTCTTTTAAGAATGAAAGGATTTCTCCTTGATACCGTCCAGAACAGCCTCCTGATATCAGTCAAAATAGTTTTCTCCTTTGAATTCTACAGGAACTATCCAGTCTGTTTGATAAACCTGAAAGAAAAAAAATATGACATTTTGTCTTTGGAGATACTTTCATTATCAAACAGATATTAGCACTTTTTGTCTTTAAATCCGTAACTTTCACTTACCAAATTTTCTTTAGATATACTATCACACAATTATCCAATTTAGAAAATACATACTTTAATAATGATGTATTTGATACTTCTTGTACCAGGATTAAAAAAAAAAAAAAAAACAACAAACCAACAAAACAAGCAAACAGACAAACAAAAACTTTTTTCCTATCCAGAAATCCAGAAGCAGTTCTCAAAGAAGAAGAAGAAAAAAAAAAAAAAAAGAACAAGTGCTTAAAATCTCTTCCCTTCATTTCATTCTCCCTTTCATTTTTTTGTAAGGAACAGTTAGGATTCAAATGAAATTTCTTGGTTATTTACATTTTAAAAAAAAAATGTTTCAAATGTCCTATTTTCATGTTGCCAAACTGAAAAAATTCCTTCTCTCAGATAAGAAATTGCTTTTAGTCAAAAATTAAGTGAAGTATTACAGAAAAGAACTGAAGGTCAAGACAAAACATTAATGTTTAAATAGTTTGATAGACACAAGATCTTTTTGTCTGCACATTTTAAATTAGGAAAAGAGCTTTCAAAATGCTGACTTCTTAATATTACTCAGGACAGGGAATGTTTCAATATTTTTTTATAGAACATGAAAAATGTTATTTATCCAAGCTAATCTTTCCTTCTAAAGATCTTTATGTTCTTATTAGTTTAGTTTATCAATGGCTTTATTCATATGTTCCTACCATTTTTCTATATCTTTCTGGTGTAGGGAAAGCACAAAGTAGCCTATCGAAGTCAGGTGTCTTCAAATTCTTACTCCTTTATAGTGAACATAGGATTTTAGGTCATACACTGTCCTTTCAAGAAAATAAATAAATAACTGAAAGCTTTAATCAATTACACAGGGCAAAAAAAAAAAAAAACGACAAACCAAAACCACAACACTAAAATAAAAATAATCACTGACCTGCACACAAGTTGTTTAATGTTTATAACACAGAAAACAGACATCAAAGAATCAATTACACTGCAAGCAGATTGGAAATTGTAATATCTTTAATGTCTACATTCTGAAGGAAAAAAAATGGTCTCATGAATAAGATAAGAGTCCTTCATACTACAAAAATGATGCTGCAAGACTTCTGGGTTTTAAGTGACTTTTTTTTAGCAAATAGATTTATTTTTACAGTTGTGTGGTTGGGGTGCTTAACAAGACAACATATTTTATATGGGTTTTCTTTCCGTATCAAAAAGGTGATGAAGGATATTCAATAACATTCTTATGGTAAATCACCATTGTTCTTGTAAGTTGACACATTGTTTTACTTGTTCCTGATTAGCCCTTGTTGTATCTCACATTAATGGCAACCTCTTCTGCAATCACTTCTTTGTAGAGTCAAGGCAGGTAAAGATTTTTTTGTATTAATAATTAGAATAAGGTAGCTTTCAAAATATTGCAGCTCTGATATACATGCAATCACTGGTGCATTTTGAACTGCACATTATACCCAGAATGTGGTATGTTCTTTACAGGCAGATACTGGTTTTTGAGGTAGAATTTGAACAAAATTAGCATGAAATGAGAATAAGGCAAACTGTATTCTTTCATACAAAGTGTTACCCATTACTAAAGAGTAAATTGTGAAAGGAATGCTTTTATAATGGAATGCATGCAGAAAAGTAATGTTGATTTATGTCAAATAGAAACACAGAAAATCGTAGAAATTTGGTTTCCAGCCTTATTTATAAAAGTGTTCCATAAATGGAGCTCTCCTGCATCTGTGGCAAGATGACAAGATTATTTATAGAAACAAATACATTGCCAGAGCTTTTTTATTACTGTGAAGAATGAATTCTTTCTTTTTTCACTTTCCTGCCTTTAGAACAATTTCCATCTTAGCCAAAATTTTCAGTATTTAACTAGCAACCCAAAAGTAACACTATATTGGATTTTATTATGATAATCTTGTTCCTTCAAAAAAAATAATTGTTTAAGATATTTTTTTACTGAAAAGATTTAATAATATAATAATAACAATAAAAATTCTGATATACAAATAATATTTTGGAGCAGTTCTATTCAGAACTTCTTCAGTTCTCGATCTTCCTTCACCATTGTCACTATGATTAATTGTGTAATAATAGTGCGTGATAATATAAGCACAAATCATACAGTGAATTATAGAGATGTTGTATTATTGAATAGTTTAGCTAAAGTCTTACAGTCTCAGAAGAAGAAAGAGCAGTATTTTCTTTTCTTACTTTATTAATTTTTTTAAAGATTGAGGTTCCAGGCTCAGATCTACATAGACAGACATGTAAAGTGAACTGGCGGAACTTCATCAGTCCAAAGTTTTATTCTTTCATTAATAATTAGAAGTGGACCTGAGTGTTGAGGAAACTTTGGAACTAAGAATTACTAAATGGATTGGTTAATATTAAAAATATTTCAATCTTTCCTCCAACATTGAATTTAAGCTGCAAACAGTATTTTGATTCTCAGGTGTATCTCCCCACTATTCTCATGAGCATGGGCTTCTGCATGTTTTAGTATGTCAGGCAAAATCAATACTGAAATAAGATAAAATTCAGTTGTCAGGAGTCTTACCAAAAATAATGCCACTTTACCACTCACACTTTGTGAGAGGTCTACGACAGGACACCAGTAGGCTATACACATATAGGCTGTTTCCCTGTATACAAGGAATATTTGTTAAATTTATATTTCATTTACATACACTTGCCTTCTTGTTTGTCTTAATGAATTTACAAATGATGGTTTATTCTGTAGAATAAACTGTAGTCTGTAGTCTGTAGTCTGTAGAACTTAGACTTTGGAAAGGAAAATGAGTTGAAAAACTTCTTTAGCATTACAGGAAAACATAAATTTAGGACCTTCAGAGCTACTGTATTGGAATATAACCCGACTTCGGTCTTCTTTACTCAAGTGAATTTACTGTGGCCAATTACATAACAGTTGCACCAAGTAAATTACAGTAGCTCTCCATTAAATAACAAAGATATGATTGATAGTGTACTTTACATTCTCAAGGCAGTTTTGCAACCCCCTAAATGGATAATTGTCAGTTATTGCTTTTAAACTGTGAGCCTTGCATGACTTTATTAAAAGTTTCCAAGATCCAAAGATTATGAAGATAAAAGCAATCTATATAGGAGTGGTATACACCACTCTGGTATAGAGGAGAGCAAAATCCAGAAAAGGTTGGAACGTGTGATGTGTTAGGCTTTTAGTAGGGTCTGATACATGTTGGTTGGGTTTTTTTTTCAGGTGTCTTA